CATGATATATAAAGAGTTCTAGCATATCAATAAAACAACCACTCCAACAGAAACAGTAGTAAAAATAAATAAATAACAAAACTGGTGTTTTACAAAAGGAGAAATATAAGAACTGGTAAATGTGGAAAATAGTCACTCTCACTAATAGACAAATGGAAAAGAAATTATACATATTATTTTTTACTCATGAAATTAACAGATGTTTATATGACTATAGGGAACACTGAAATGTTCAAGTCTAATTGGTGGGAATGTAATTCTATAGATTTCTGGAATGTAGAGTGGGTGTATAATGTCTTAAATTAGATACCTTTGGCCTAAAAATTGTACTTCTAAACTTTTTTCCCCAAGGAGATCATTGTATAGGTTAAATTTATATATATATATATATTTTTTTCTTTAATGTGTTAAACAATCTATAGCTGTCCCACAGTATGAAACTGATTCAACAAATTAATGTAAAAATTATAGAACATTATATATCCAATAAAACAATTATACATATCTGTATATAATTACCCAGAAAAATGTTCATGTTATATATTTTGGTTGAGAAAATCAGGTTAAAAATACAAGGTAGAGAATCAACTTAGTATGAAATTATGTATAATAAAATCCACCTTTGTAGATGTACCCATAGAAACACACAAACTTTTACAATCATGTATCACTTATAGTTCCATTAAATATAAGTGACAGAAACTCAGACCAAACCAACTTAAGCAGAAGGAGAATTTTTGGGCTCAGCAAAAAGTACAGCATTCTGGTTTGATTTGAGGCAAATCTTTTTCAAGGCTTGAAACAAGGTTGTCAGGAAGAGCCAGCTTTTCTCTGTTTCCAAGTTTCTGCCCTACTTCCTTTGTGGTGGATCTGTTTTCAGAACAGTGTCTCCCCTCATGGTGACAAAATGGCTGCCACCGCTTTTGCAACTCCTTCCCACTTCAGTACTAAAATGAAAGAGAAAGTCTTTTCCTGATTACCTAATTGAAAGCTCTAGGTACATTGAGCCTGGTTACCTAAGTTGGGACATGTGCACACACCCAAATCAACACTGTTACCTGGAAGGTAACACAGTGTGCTGTATCTCATGTTCTACCACATATGCACATGTATATTCATATAGCCATATATTCATATATCATAAACCTATAGCATGTAGCTTGAGCAATGGGTGAGGCAGGGGGGGAGGAGAGGAGAGGGGAGTGTCCCTGAATAAAATTGGTGGTAAGATTACCTGGAAAAGGATAGGTGGATGTTGAATCACTAAAAGAGCAAAGAAAGTTTGTCTCTTCATGATGATGTTTTTGGACATTTTTTTTTCGGCCTACTTTTGCATATTATTTGAGAATTTACCAATTTTTAATTAGCACAACAATGGAAAACTATTATCATGCAGCATTGTTATATTTAGACAGACAAGTCTTTTTTCAAGGTAAAATAAAATATGTAGATATTTCTATAAGTCATGCTGTTTTTGCTCTTTTGCATCTCTGCCTTGTCTTTCCCTCACTTAGTTTTGTTTCCTATAAACCTCTTGCTATTATTTCTTTCTGTTACCATTTTTTTTCTTTTTAAAGGAGAGCACACTTGAGTGCATGCAAGTGGGGGAGAGGCACAGAGACGGAGAGAAATAATCTTTTTTTTTTAATGTTTATTTTTATTTTTGAGACAGAGAGAGACAGAGCATGAACGGGGGAAGGGCAGAGAGAGAGGGAGATACAGAATCGGAAGCAGGCTCCAGGCTCCGAGCCATCAGCCCAGAGCCCGACGTGGGGCTCGAACTCACGGACCGTGAGATCGTGACCTGAGCTGAAGTCGGACGCTTAACCGACTGAGCCACCCAGGCAACCCTGGAGAGAGAGAATCTTAAACAGGCTTCCAGCCCAGCCTAGGGCCCAATGGGGGATTTGATCCTACAACCATGACATCATGACCTGAGCTGAAATCAAGATTCAGACACGTAACCAACTGAGTACCCAGGCATCCACTGTTAACCTTTCCATTGCTGTGTTCCAAGCTTGCAAGGTCACAGCCAAAAAGAAAAAAAAAAAAAAATCTGCACAAAAAGTAAAGCTCTTTACCCTAGGAAGTATTTCAGAGAAAGAACCAGAAAAGTGAAGAAGTAGGTGGTGGTCCCAGAATGTTTAAAGGCAGCATTCAGGGGCTCATTTTGAATTTATGTTTGCATAGCAGACATAATTTTCTGCTTTGCTTGGAGATTCATGGGTGGCTGGTTGCTGGAGGGAAGGATGGCTTTCCAAAGCCTAGTTGATGCTGCCTTTTGTGAATCGTTAATTTATATCAGTGCCTCAGATACCTTCGTGTGCACCTGAGTCACGGAAGGATCTGCTAAACTGCAGATTCTGACTCAGTATGTCTAGGTTGAGACCCAAGATTCTTCACTTCTCACAAGCTTCCAAGGGATGTTAATGCAACAAGACTATGGGCCAGACTTTGAAAAGGAAAGTTTGGATGACATTTTCCTATCTGTGAAGTAAAAACCCAAGCCAGCTATATTCTGCATGTTTTTATTAAAATTAATAATATATTACAATATATATTTGTAACTATTCCAGGTTTATTTGCATATGCTGGTATTTTTCTATTTAGGGTTAATTTTTTTTTTAAATCACCAAAATTTGATTCTCTGTTACATCATTTTAAAAGAAGGCAAATAGGGGCGCCTGGGTGGCGCAGTCGGTTAAGCGTCCGACTTCAGCCAGGTCACGATCTCGCGGTCCGTGAGTTCGAGCCCCGCGTCAGGCTCTGGGCTGATGGCTCGGAGCCTGGAGCCTGTTTCCTCTTCTGTGTCTCCCTCTCTCTCTGCCCCTCCCCCATTCATGCTCTGTCTCTCTCTGTCCCAAAAATAAAATAAAAAACGTTGAAAAAAAAAAATAAAAGAAGGCAAATACTTCGACTCTCTCCCCCAGTCTCTAATATAAAATCCCAAATCTGTTTTTACATGTATTCCATAAGGAAAAAGAAATGCTTTCTCGCCATCTGAAATGCTATTTTTCTTGTTCTGGAACCAAAGATTACTCACTTCAACTTCGAGTTACACTGGGGTTATGGAAAATCCCTTATTATTTTTTTAACGTTTATTTGTTTTTGAGAGACACAGAGACAGAATGAGAGTGGGTCAGGGGTAGAGAGAGAGGGAGACACAGAATCCAAAGCAGGCTCCAGGCTCTGAGATGTCAGTACAGAGCCCGACATGGGGCTTGAACTCCCGAACCGTGAGATCATGACCTGAGCCAAAGTCAGACACTCAACCAACTGAGCCACCCGGGCGCCCCAGGAAAATACCTTCTTGTTTGAGATTTCAACAATGTGCTCCAACAAGAACAAACTGAAGAACTTGCTTTATTGCTTTGAACCAGCGGAAGGAGCAAGGTGCAAAGAACTTCTCTTGAAGAAAAAATATTTTATTTTACTTTATTTATTTATTTATTTTGAGAGAGAGAGAGAGGGAGGGAGGGAGGGAGGGAGAGAAACCTATTGGGGGAGACGAGCAGAGGGAGAAAGAGAGAGGAAATCTCAAGCAGGATCCATACTCAGTGCAGAGCCTGACACAGGCTTCAATCCCATAACCCTGGGATCATGACCTGAACTGAAATCAGGAGTCATGCTGAACTGACTGAGCCACCCAGGCACCCATGTTTAAAACTTAGATTCCCCCTTGTGCAAAATGGTGACTCTTCTTCCTCACTGTGAAACCGTGTGACCTTGGGCAGCAGACATAGCCTAGACCTAGTTTTCAACGCCAATAGCAACTGAAAGCTCAAGCCATTTAATCTGTCAGAGGCAAATGAATTCACTTTGGATTACAAACATTTTTAATGATTTTTAATGATGTTTATGTTTTTAAATTTCACATACCCTCTCCAACTCCAGTCCCTTTGCCAGTCCCTCTTGGCTCTGCTAAGATTGATGGAATCTGGGAATCAAGGTCAAGGACAGGGGTCTTCTTTGTTCAAAAGGAGTGTGTGTGTGTGTGTGTGTGTGTGTGTGTGTGTAAAACAGAAACACCACTTTCCATACCTCCATTGGTTTGTATGCCTTTCTTTCAGCTTGCTCCAGGAGCCAAATTTGCTTTTGGCAACTCCACTAGAAAATTCCAAAATGGTAGCTGTGTGAGAATTTTAACTTAGGTTTAAGCGTCTCACTTGCCCTTGAGTTCCTGTGTCTCTTTTTGAATATGGCCTCCCTGGTGGGTGGGCCATGCTGTTATCTCCCTTGGGCCCCCTTGCTGCTATCTTGACTGCATATACAGCTAACTTATCTTTTGGAAGCTTAACTGGACTTTATCGTCTGTACTCAGCACCTACAAGTACCTATGTTCTTCTCTGGCTCCTTGAAGACCACTGTTTCCATATTTTTCACATTCTTACTTCTTTAACTATGCCTCTGTGACAGTTACTGGCACTTGCTAAGAAGATAGAGTGATACAGTAACATAGAAATTTATAGCAACAAAAATCATGTTGATGGAGTACCATATGACCACAACCTACATTTATTTTGGCCAGAGACATACAGTTTTGGTAATCCCAAGCATCTCCTCTTTAAAGCCTTCTTACATAGTAAACAACTTCTCTTTTTTAATGTAAAATCATGACACTTGTTTGATAATGGATAGCAGGTTGAGGTTGGCCATTGGTACACACAGCAAAAATCCTAACATGCAGGTTTAGCATTCAGCCTTGCTGACCTGATGACAGGAACAGGGCTGGCCACAATATCCTCCTGAGGCTTGCAGATCCCCTCACACTCCTTTGTCCAGGCCTCAGGCACCTTGGTGACCCTACCGGAGTTTCAGAGTTAATGCCTCTAGCATTGTATACAGACAGAAAAACAAGTCTGGCGTATGGATGTGACTAAGTTTTAAATGCATAGGAAGAAAATTATGTTTTAAGTTTTCACTGATCTTGGGGTACAAAACTTAAGCTTTGGGAGAAAACCAAAAAATTCAAGTATGTTTTGAATAATCATTTATTCTAGAGCATCTGGCAAACATGAACTTGGAAGTCTGGGAGAACCTCCATGTGAACAATGGCCACTTTCCAAAGAACAATAAGGGACATATATTTTAAAAGCATCAACAGAAAAGCACGAACCACAATCGTCTGCAACACAAGTAATGAGTGCAGGAATTGTAAAGGACGGTGATAATAAGTGGAAGGTTATGCCTTTAAGTCTTGCCAGTGAAACCCAATTTAATGAAATGAGGCTTTAATTATAAAGCCAAAGATGACTTTCTCTTCTATTTTTAATTTTATGGATGAGAAGCTGCAGAAATATGAAAGAACCAAATAAAGGCATCAAGTAAGAATAACGTCAACTCCTTTTCTTACCCTGGTTGGTGGGGGGTTGGGGAGTTTGAGAGCAGAGGGTTATTTGGCAAGCAATAGATAAATAGAAACAAACTGCAAGTTGTCGGCTTTGCCTTACGTGGCAAAATGCACCACGAAGACACAACTGAACGAGTCTGAGTTGATAAACATGGAGGCAATTACTGCTCTTACTTCTTGGCTTATAAAGCACATCTTGCTTAATAGAAGGTGTTGTGCTGGAAAGCAGAAAGCCCATTGCATCCCCCAAGCAGACATTGTGAGAGTTGAAGTCTTACACAGAGTATTTGCAATTATTCCAGGAAAGAAAACATCCTACAGAGAGCTATGTGCACGACAGAGTTGCACTAAATAGGAGTCTCATTCCACGTGCCAGGGTGGCAATCCTATGTCGAACCTAAATAACGCTTTCTGGCTAAAGCATTAAAGCAAATGAAAACATTTAAAAATCAAACGTAGTGTTATTCTTATTTATTTTAAAAGTGTTTGGGGGGTGAAGGATAGGAAGGGATGGGGGGAGGAAGCAGGAAAAGAATTGCACATACAAATGCCACGACAGTTAAGGGAAAACGGGTCAACTTAATGCAGAGCAACTCAGTGGGAGGTCTATATCATATTTTTTACTTTTTGCAATAAACCCCAAATTGTATTGGTCTTCTTGGTTTTTTTTCTAGATTGGCAACTTTATGCAGCTGTGTTCGTCTATACCCAGTCTGAGTGGGCATACACACAAACCCCAGAAGTTTTTTTAAAAAAATGTGTCTGTCTCCAGAACATTTTAAAGCTAATTTATTTTACTTTACTTCATCATTAAGGAAGATTAGTTAAACAGAGGCCCAGTCAACTTTTTGACTATCCTACCCTGGGACTAAAATTAGCAACTAAGCCCTTGAATCTAAACCATTCCGAGTTTTGGATCCATTCGTATTAACCTTTCTACCAGTTTTCCTGTTCGGTTTAATCTGATAGCCCCAAGAGATGGGTTCTGAAGGAGTGCCTGAGCTATTGGGGAAGGAAGTGGTTAAGAAGGAAGAAGTACATTTCTTGGCAGAGTGTCTGAGAATGCAATGACTTTGCTCGGGGCTGGAACAGATAATGCCTAAATATCACTATCTCTAAAAATACAGTGTAGGGTTGTCAAAAGGCTGACCAGCTCTCAAATACCTGATAGTCCCACCCGTAATTTTATTCCACAATAATACATTTGTTCACTAAACCTTTTGGGGGAGAGAGGAGACCTATCATGTGCAGAGTTTTGTGTTTCATACTCATATCTGTTTGGAGTAGGGCTAAGATCCTGGGCTCTGATTTCAAGAGACTCACCTCAGTTTCCAGGCCATGTCAAGAGTGTAAATGGAAGCTCCCTACCATCTGTGTAAATATTTTAAATCCCTAAGTTAAAATTTTAAACTTTTTGGAGGAATCGTTGACATAGAAAAATTGTGTGTATTTAAGACATACAACTTCATGTTTTGATATATATACACGTTCTGAAAAGATCATCACAATCAAGCTGAATAACTTAGCCATGGTCTTTCCATACTTACCACTGTGTGTGTATGTGTGTGTGTGTTAAGAATATTCAGATGAAGATCCAGCCTTCCAGGATTACCAGTAATAATAGGTATTGTTAACTATCGTCCTCACCATGCTGTACATTATATCTCCAGAACCCATTCATCTTGCAAAACTGGACCCTTTAAACATCTCTTCATTTCACCCTCTCTCTCTCCACCCCTGGAAACTGCCATTCTACTCCCTACATCTATGAGTTTGACTACTTTGGATTTCACATTTAAGTGAGACAGGTAGTATTTGTCTTTCTGTGTCTCCTATATTTCACTTAGCATAACGTCCTCCAGGTGTCTTCTTTCTTAAGGCTGAATAATATTATTAATTTCCTTTATGCATAGCTCATTGTTAGTATATAGAAATGCCACCAGGGTGCATGGGTGGTTCAGTCGGTTGAGCGCCCAGCTCTCGATTTCAGCTCAGGTCATGATCTCTCAGTTAGTGAGATCGAGCTCTGTGCTGACAGTGTGGAGCCTGCTTGGGATTCTCTCTCTCTCTCTCTCTCTCTCTCTCTCTCTCTCTCTCTCTGTGTGTGTGTGTGTGTGTGTCTTTTTCTTTCTCTCTCCCCACCCCTCCCTTGCTTGGGCTCTCTCTCTCTCTCAACATAAATAAACCTGAAAACCATTTTTTTAAAGAAAGAAAACTTAAAAAAGATCTTTTGTAAGTTGGTTTTGTATCCTGCAGCTCTACAGAATTTGTGTATTAGTTCTGTCTTTTGTTGAATCTTCAGGGTTTTCCACAAATACAATCATGTCATCTGCAAACAGATTATTTTACTTCTTCCTTTCCAATTTAGATGCATTATATTTCTTTTTCTTGCCTAATTGCTTTGACTAGGACTTCCAGTACTGTCTTGAATAGAAGTGGGAAAAGCAGGCATTCTTACCTTGAACCAAATCTTAGAGGAAAAGTTTTAAGTTTTTCCCTATTGTTTATGCTGTTAGCTGTGGGCTTTTTATATATGGCTTTCATTGTGATGAGTAAATTCCTTCTCTACCTGTTTGGTAGGATTTTTATCATGAATAGATGTTGAATTTTTCTCAAATGATTTTTCTGCATCTATTAAATAGTCATGTGGTTTTTATCTTTCATTTTGTTAACGTAGCATACCACGTTGATTGAGTTGCATATGTTGAACCAACCTCGCATCCCAATGATAGATCCCACTTGGTCATGGTGTAGGGTCCTTTTAATGTGCTGTTGAATTCAATCTGTTACTATTTTATTGAAGAATTTTGCATCTGTGTTCATTAGGGGTACTGGCCTACTGTTTTATTTTCTTGAGGTATCTTGTCTGACTTTGGGATCAGGGTGATCAATATTCAAAAAATGAGTGTTCCCTCTTTTTCCATTTTTTGGAAAATTGAAGAGTGATTCATATAAATTAACTTATAAAATCAAAATTACTTCAGTAAAGCTGAAAATAAATTTTGAAAACAAGGAAATGTCACTAAATATTTTAATAAAACTAAAACTATTTGCGGGTGCTTAGGTGTCTCAGTTGGTTGAGCATCTGACTCTTAACTTTGGTTCAAGTTATCATCCCACGGGTGTGGGATTGAGCCCCACATTGGACTCCACATTCAACTTAAGATTCTCTCTCTCTTCCTCGGCCCCTCTCCTTTTTGCACGCTTGCTCTTTCTCTCTCTCTAAAAAAAAATAAAATAAATTAAAATAAATAATAACTATTAGCATTCGGAGCCCTGAGTATCTCTTTCATTACCAATGTAAAGAATTGGTAACGTGCTCCATGTATGTTATGTCAAGACCTGCATCCATGAATTGTTTAATATTTCAGCTGCCGTGGGTAACTCTTGTGACTATCATACCCGCAGAAGCACAAATCAGAACACAAAGAGGAGCAAGAAGACAGACTCTTGGCCCAACAAAGAAATGACTGTTAGGCAAGAACCTACTGTATTCATCTTACGTGAAAGAGAGAGTTTGACAGTTGTCTCCTTCCTCAGCACAGCTGTGCTCATCAAGATGTTCCCGGACCTGAACCCTTTGGGCATAAGAGCTGTGCTTCGAGTGGCAGGCTACATCGTGTCAGTCTCTGGGGCTGAATCTCATATGACTAAGTACACATGGGTTCTTAAAACAAACTTAGCTTTCTGATGTTTGTGATATATGGGGCTCAGGAAAGCATAGAACCCGAGGCACGGGCTCTTGCCCAGGGCAAGGATGGTCCCACCTCCAAGACTGTAATGTAGCAAGAGAAATAGACACCTGCTCTATGAGTAGGAGACCAAATGGAGGAGTGATGTGTAGAGGAGTGGTAGTAGTGCCCAACTGCTCATGACTCCCTGGTGCCACTCTTTTATTTTAATTTTGTTTGATGTGTGTTGGGGTAGAGCCCGAGTTGGGGAGGGGCAGAGAGAGAGGGAGACCCAGAATCCGAAGCAGGCTCCAGGCCCCCAGCTGTTAGCACAGAGCCCAGCACAGGGCTTGAACTCACCAACCACAAGATCATGACCTGAGCCAAAATTGGACTCTTAACCGACAGGTGCCCCTGTGGGTGCCACTCTGAGGACCTCTCTACATACATTATTTTGTATGGACCTCACAGTGAGTGACAACTACAGAATAGAGGCACAGAAGCATTAGATGGCTTAACCAAGTGTATGAGTAACAATCAGAGGCCATATATTTAAGTAGCCATTTGGTAAATACACCCGTGTGCTAAATCTTATTTTAGATTTTTTAAAATGCGTTCATGAAAGGTGTTTTTTATTTATCATGTTGTCAGGTATTGCATTCTCAAAAATGTGTGTGTGTGTGTGTGTGTGTGTGTGTGTGTAAATAAAAAAGGGCTGAGTCGAAAGTGTATATGGGAATGCCAAAGGCCACAATAGCCATGACGATCCTATGGATCAAAGTTGGAAGATTTACACTAGTGGATATTAAGACATATCAGAAATCTACCATTATTAAAACAATATTCAGAAAAGGGAGAACAAATCAAAGGAACACTGTAGAGATTTCAGAAATAGGCCTACACCCCAAAGGACATTTGATTTATGACAAAAATGGTCCTGCCCAGAATGGGAAAAGGGTAGTCTTTTCAATAAACAATGATGGACCCGTTGGAGATCCATATATGAAAATCAGTGAAATTTAATTCTTGACTCACGTTGTACCCAATCATTTCCAGATGGGCTGTAGTTCTAAAAGTGAAAGGTAAGACATCAGTG